AAAAAGAAGAAGCGTCTATGGAGAAAATGAATAGGATTTTAACTTCTGGAACCCTACTGTTGCGATCTATATGAGCGTAATAATCAACCCAGTATCTTTCATCAAACTGTTTACTGAATAAATGCTAATTTTTCCACTCTACTACTCCTCTATCTGGTTTGTGCCCACTGGCGCCCCCTATATTTTGGCCAGTCTGAGCTGGTGCCCCAGTGAACCCTGTCGAGAGCTGGAAGAAATTAGAGAGCTCATCAGGTACTGCGAGTGTATGACTGCGTTGTGTGCAAGCTTCCTGTAAATCCAACCGAAGAGCCAACCCCTCCGACTAGCACAAAGAGCTTTTGCATCATCATTTGCATTACCTGTTTGTCAGAGCAAAGTGAAGCGTTTGTTTAGGCCTTATTCTGTGCTGCTTCAGTCAGCCTCGGTAAAGCTTAGATAAATGATGGCTTTTAAAAGTTAGACGTGTTCCTGCAGAAATACTTAGGAGGTGCTGCTTTTTGCGGTGTAGTTTTTGTTGTAGCTTCTTTTGTTGTTTGTTACATGATGACTAACATTGTTGTTCTCGAAACTGGTCTGAATGTCAGGTAAGTGGATGTTTGTAACAAACCTGCTTCAGATTGTTGCACCGAAATGTAAAATAATATTTAATATGCCTGATTTGACATGACTACAATAGGTAACACCAATTAAAATTATTTTTAAATGTCAGATCAGTAAGAAATAATCATAATTTTCACTTTTGTACAGTGTAGTGTTTTTTTTTTTTTAACTATTCAGTTTTTATTTATTTTGAGGTTTCAAATAATTGTGATCTCGATACAATTCAGATTTGGAAATATTCTAACCACCTGTATGTTCACATATATATTTAGCAGCCCAAAACACTTCTCAGTTTGCCTTGGTTTGCTATTGTGCTATTCAATGTGCTGCTTTGAGCTTTTAGTTTGTCTATGGCATTGCTTCTAAGATCAGTCCTGGTGTCTCGTACTAACAGCAGCCATTCTGTTGCTGAAATTCACTATTTTCGTGTGCTAGACTGAAAAGAAATGGCTTAAATGGTTTGGGTTAGTTCACCCAAAAATGAAAATTAGGCTGTGTTTTATTCACCCCAGAGCCATCCTAGGTGTATATGACTTTCTTCTTTCAGACGAATCCAGTCGGAGTTATATTAAAAATTGTCTTTGATCTTTCAAGCTGTTTAATGCCACTCAGCGGGTGTTGCATGCATCAGTCCAAAATAAGTTAAATAAAAAGCGCCCATCCATTAAAAAAAGTGTATGGGGGGGGGTGAACAAAGGCCTCCTGTAGCGAATCGGTGCATTTTTGTAAGAAAAATATCCATATTTAAAACGTAATAATCACTTTAATCTAGATTGCGCTCACTGTTGTAAACGGAAGCAGCTACTCATCTCACCTGCACAAAAACAGATTCAGTATTCCTCAAAATGAATAAAAACTGTCAAATGCAAACTGAGAATATTATACTAACCTGCAATACTTAAATATGTGAAATAACACAAATATAATTGATGTATTTAATCCCATTTTATTAACCAATGTCTTTGCTACTGATCTTCGATGATCCAATTCATCCATACTAAGCAAAAATGACACTTTATGTGTATCATTTGTGTATCATTTTTGTTATTGCTGAATAGTGTTGAACTTTCATTTCCTGCGTCATATTCTTCATGCGATTTGTTTGAGCGGCGCCCTCCACTGTACAGATGTGAATTTACATTTCCTTCAGCCTGAGGCATATTCATTTCACTTTTGTTGTGAAAGGGCTTTTATATTTGTAAAAGAAGGGCTTTTTATATTAAAAACAAACAAGCAAGCCCTGCCCAGATTTGAAAAGTAACGCAAAAGTAACGTAACACATTACTTTCCATAAAAAGTAACTAAGTAACGTAATTAGTTACTTTTTTATGGAGTAACGCAAAATTGTAATGCATTACTTTTAAAAGTAACTTTCCCCAACACTGCAAAACAGTATGTACAGCACAGCTTTGCTTTCTTTTGTATCACTTTAAATAAGGCGACTCTCAAACTCTTTCTTTCTTTCTTTCTTTTATTTGTTTTTTTACATTCTATAAATTTTTATCATTTGTTATTTTTTTATAATTTATTTATAATTGTTATTATGTATTATTATATTATAATTTATATAATTATTTATTTTACATTTTTAATTTTATTTATGCATTTATTTTTATATTTTTTCCCCCTATTTTTTTTCTTTCTTAGTGTAACTTGGTTCTTTATGATGTGTTCTGTTGTAGTTATAGTTTGGAGGGTCTAGCAGCAGGGATTGAGGATGGCAAACGTTGGATACCGCAGTCCGGAGGTCCATCCACAGAGCAGCGAGGGGTTCAGAGGCAGGAAAGTGAAGAGAGGGGCTCACTGATGTCTCTCACAGAAGAAGGTCCTGAATCTGATTTGGGAGAATGCAGCAGTCCAGCTGTTCAGGTGAGACAAGATCTGTCTTCTCCAATTCAGGACATTTGGGTTAAAATACAGAAACCATTTGAAATGGTTACTTGAAGCCAACATGAAACGAACTGATAGTACTTCTATAACTTTATCACTGAGCATCTGAGTTTGTGATTTCAGAAATCAAGGAAGTATCATCAGTTCAGACACAGCGGTCCATCTGTGACTCTCCCCCTCACAAAATCAGTCTCTATGCTTTCCATCAGCCAACGGGACATAGATGGTAAGTAAAGCTGCTTTATTTCCATTTCTTTTCTCAGTTTCTGGCTTCTAGAGATTGCTTATATAAAAGATTTTTTGCTAGAAACATCTTTTGCTGTCAGTATACCGGATTTTTCTTATTAGTTCCTTGTTTCAGAGGTTGTACGCGAACAGGTGGTACCAGTATAACATGATTTGTTTTCCTCTTCTGGTTTGTGTTAGTTGTCCTCCACCCATTTCTCAGGCCCCTAAATCATCTGGTTTAATAAGTACTTGCTCTGACTTTTCCATCCCCAATGCGGCCGCCCAGTGATAGGAAGGATTCGGCGAAAGAGGCAGATCTCTTTTACCTTCAACCTCTCACCGATCCTCCCTAAATCTAAAACTGTCTTTGCTGTTACCTCTTCATCTAGTGATGAGGAGGACATCATAAGTAAGTTGCAGTAAGAACTGGATAATAGCATCTTCAGTATAGTAACCTCCAGCATCTCGTCCCTAGATGATGTCCTGTGATTCGCAGTAGATGTAGAGATAGATGAAATATGCTAGTCACCTTTGAAACCTGTCCCTCAAATAGAGCAATACATTTTCTGGATCAGTTTTCATCTCAGTTTTTGGGTTTTTAAACACATACTATAAAAGGAATAATTCACCCAAAAAATAAAAATTAAGTTTGAAAGCATACCTTTCAAAATATCTATTTGAAACTTGGTGTTTCATGTTATATAAAATTGAATAATGCACATTATTTTCAAATATATTTTTCCTCAGTTAATACATTTAAAAAATGTCAGTCTGATCCTCCATATAATAAAAGAGCACTATCATATGTAGTCATGTACCAAAAATATACAATCAAAACAAATTTTCAGTTTTGATCAAAATAATTGAAGCTGAAATCATTGACCAAAACAGTTTAATTCTTTATTCGTTCTTTAATGACGCATTTTGATTGTATCGCCATCTATTTCATGTACACTACAACAAGTAAACATGTCAACAGTGTGAACGCACTTCACCATGACCAAAAATGAAGCTAGAGTAGCAATATGTACAATTTGTTCAGCTGAAATATAGAGAGGCAGCTTGTTGACAAAAAACTTAATTTATCACCTAATGAGAACATGACACCCTGAAAAATATTTTGAGTTCATTACCTAATTACACAAATTTAATTACCAACATTTTATTCTCGGTTTCAGTTTTCATGAAAACATTAATTTTGGTTTTGGTAAAAAAAAAATATTTGCTGACTATATGAAATTAGGGAATATTGTGTAACTTTGTACTTTTTAAAAATAGCTGTTCCAGATCATGTCTTTTCATGGGGGGCAAAAAATTACCTTTTTAAATTTTTCGGGAGGCAAAGTAAAAGTATCAATATATATCAATATTGTCCAAATATTGAGAGATACATTTAGCTATATCAGCCAGCTCTAATGGCACTTGCTTTTGGAGTTTGAGAACTACGGTTCACTAATTATTAAATTAAATTAAATTAAATTTAATTAAATTTAAAATAGTAACGTAAAATAAAGTTTAGTTTTATTTATTTTATTTTATTTTATTTTATTTTATTTTATT